AAAAGAATAAAGTCTGGAACAATTAAGCCAAAATATTTACAATGAAGTGGCTGGCAAATAATAATATTGACTAGAATTTAGGAAAGTAGGTTTCAAACCAGTGGCAATTCATATGTTAAACTGGAAGGTCCTTACAACATCTCTTCTCTACCAATGGGTTTTTTGATAATGAATTTCTTCAAAAACCATATGAAAAGAGGATTTAAAAAAGTAATAATTTTATAGCAGTATGGATGGAGTTAAACTCCTTTCATTACTAACCATATTTCCTGACCTTATCCAGTCTCTTACTTCCTTTACTAATATATGTCAATTTTTTTTGCATAATTTTTGTCTTATGGAATAGTCTGTCACAGTCACACTTTAAAAAATCTATTAATCTCCGAATATGTTTTGTTTCCTTTGTATTTTTAAAAAATTGCTCTTTTTTTATTCTTTGTGCTTTCTGGCATAAAATATGAAAATGCTGTTCTTGAAATTATCTTTACTTACATCATAACTTGATCTTACATAGACTCCAATTCATAGATTTCAAAGTTTGCTTTATTTTCAGGCTTTTTGTTTTTTTCATAAAACTAAGGCCAAAATAAATATGAAGATTTAAAAATTGATTTTAATTTACTAAAATAAATATTATGAATATTCTGCATGCTTAAGATGATGAAAATACAACTAATGTGAATTACAGATTTATTTTCTTTGGTGTATAACTATGCCAGTTTTTCAGTTGTAAAGTCCTGTGCACTCAATTTAGCCTACATTTATTTTACAGATGTAATCTCTTTTAAAAGCATAGATGTAGGTTTAGATAAAAGTCTTCTTAGAAAAAGGAAATGGACTAGATAAACTAAAAATGTTATGCTTCTGGCACTCAACTTATGCTGATAAATTTTGTCTTAACTGACATAACACAGTCATGTTATCAACCTATATGAGTATCTTTATGGATTAAAACACCAGGCACAAATCCTTGGCTAAATATAGCCTGTGGAGATTTCTGTCATCAGGCTCCAGTACTCTTCAGGACTAAAATGCTGTTACTCTAATATGTGCTATGTAAAAATAACATTTTGAAATCGAAATTGAGAGAAATATCCTATTTGGGGGGTCTTGGAGTCTGTAACAGATTCTTTAGGTGTTAATGTCATTCTGACTGTTTACTTCCCTATAGCATATTTTCTTCTGTTTTACTGACACTGTCTTTACAATTCCATCATGATGTTCAATAAAATCATGGGCTGTGGATGATCATGATCACAATAAAGCACCTTTTGATCTTCAACTCAGTAAACTTCACAGACTGTCTATCCTCAGGCACAGTAAACCACTCTTAATTATGCAATTAACAGTTAAAACGTAGTGTTTAAAATGAGAAAGAAATATTATGGGTTGATATGTAGGGCACTAATTACTTAGAAATACTCTAAGCCTTCCAAATGAAGCTACTACACCCATAAAATTCAAGTCCACAACTTGTGGCTGTCCTTCCCCCACTGAATTTCTCCCTTGAATTTACAGTGGCACTGACAGCCTTGGTCTCAGGCCATCAGCTCTTCCTGGCACAGCATTAATCCCCAGGAAATGTCCTGTGACTCAGCTGCTATGGCTGAAATGCTGGCTGAACTTCTTAAACACACACGCACACACTCTGAACACATGGTCACTCAAGCATCTGAAAATATCTAAGCTGAGAAGGTTTCTGCAAAGGCTTTCTTTTTTCTTCTCTGACAAAGGACAAAGCCCTAATCAGAAGCATCTCACCTTTGGCCAAGATTTTTTGGTGCTTTGTCAGAGTAGCTATAACAGAATTATCTGCCTATTACATCTAAACTTAAAAAACAGTCCACAAAAACACAGCTTTAAAGTAGAATACATGAAGAGATTTATGGCAAAATTCATAACTAAAAAACCTATAATGCAGTTATACTTTCTTTATCCATA